CAAATCAAAAGCCGGATAAATCACACTGGGAAAAAATCTTGGCGAAGTCAAAATGCATAAAAATGCCAGAGAGTTCCAAGTAACGGATTGACAGGTCTTGATTCAGGATGGGATATTTACACAGAAGGCGGTGCAGTTGGTACCCTTGAGTGTGCAAGGTCTTCGTTGTGTAAACATTAACACGTCTAAATTACAAATGGCCCCTTTACAACAAGCCAACCTTGATTACATTCCCTTTCGCTTCAAACACTAACTCTATGCATGGCAAGTAGCCCTTTCTCGCATGGAGGAGGGTCGGAAATGTGACAGTGACCTCCTGATTATTTAAATCCACTTATTTACCTCTTGACCAGGGAAATGTCCATTACAACATAAAATAGACCCAATTAAAAATTCGTTGATATTTTTTGTGTAAATAAAACAAAAACAAATGTTGATGGTCGTAGATTAATTCAACAAAAAAAAGAAGAAAAATTCTATGGTCATTTTTTTGTATTAAAATGTATTTTTGATACTTCACTTTTATAATTATTAATTTACTTGAGGTTGTTGATTTTAAAAAACTTATATAAGAGGGGGGAAAGTTCAAACAGCATTTAAAGAAATTGAGTTTGGCACTTTTAGGTAAAATACTATCTCTCTTTAAAAAACAGGAGGCTATAAGGGAACAAACTATGCCCAATATTTTACTTTATTTATATTAGTGATTTTTGGAAAATAATTGGCAGAAATGTAGCAATGTTTCCAGATGGTAAAGGGGTGACATAAACAGGACGTCAATTATTTGTCCAAATCTTCGAAAGATTTGTAACCAGATAAATGAATGAAAGAAAAAATCGATAATAGAAATAGATAAGATTTTACAAATACTAAAATAATACAATTTGTCCAAAANTATGCCCAATATTTTACTTTATTTATATTAGTGATTTTTGGAAAATAATTGGCAGAAATGTAGCAATGTTTCCAGATGGTAAAGGGGTGACATAAATAGGACGTCAATTATTTGTCCAAATCTTCGAAAGATTTGTAACCAGATAAATGAATGAAAGAAAAAATCGATAATAGAAATAGATAAGATTTTACAAATACTAAAATAATACAATTTGTCCAAAATAAAGCTTTTCAGGACACTACGTACGCTGGTACTATGGTTTAACATAGATCTTAGGATCCTCAAGGCTAAGGAGTAAATCAAAAAACTGCTGCGAACCTCAGTGAAACCTTTGTCAATGAAAACGTCGCAGCTACGAAACACCTACGACCGGAGTACTGTTGGAACGTTAAAAATCTGCTGTTTTGTCTAGTAAAATATTTTACTGACTTGTGTGGTGTTTAGTGACCGTTAGTTAAGCATTATTCGGGAGATCATGAGATGCGGTCTGGTGTGAAGTAGGTTTTAGAAAAACATTTTTTTTATCGTGCCAACCTTTCGATCTTTATTGAGATCATCGTCAGGGCGTAGGATTTATAAAATTTATTTATATTTTACAAATACGTGTAGAATGTGAAAAAGAGATCGTATATAAACAATGCTAAAATTTTTAGATTCAATCAATGTATTTGTACTTACTCAAAGTGTTTGTTTTCTGTGTAGATATTTCAGTGTTGTGTGTCGTGTTGAGAGTGCCAGTGGGATATTGCTGTTTTTTGTTTACATATGATGGATTTTGAAGGGGTGGGGAAGGAATAGAAAGACATTTTTATACGAGGAGTCGGCTTCTTTGAGGTGAAAGGAGCCGACAATGGTAAAAAGTGGGTAATGTTTGGCCTGATTATCTTTCAGGACTATATAGACGGGGATAATTAGGGAAAGGAAAGCCCAATTGTTGAAGAATTAGACTATGTAGAAATGTTTTATGTTTGGAATGTGATGATTGTTTTATATGTTATATTATATGTTTTGTCTGATATGATTATGATATATGTATGTTATTGATGGCATACACTGGCACTCTCAACTTGACACTCAGCAATGACACATTTACATAGAAAACAAACCCTTTGAGTGAGTACAAATACTTTGATTTAATGTAAAATTTCTAGCATTGTATAAATTCATTTTTTCCACATCCTACTTGTATTGGTAAAATTTAAACAATGTTTATAAATCCCAAACTCTGAAGATAATATTAATAAAGATTTAAACGTCTGCACGATAAAGAAATTGTTTTTCTGAAACCTACGTCACACCAGACCGCATCTCACGATCCCCAAATAATCATTTTACTGATTTTACTTTTTAATCATTTTACTAATGTGTAACTCTTACTGAATCAATGGGGTTATACGAATTTGATTGTTTTTATTTAAGATATACATCACTCTACAATTCATGGTTAATCTAAGGGCCCATTCGAAAAAAAAAAAATAAGGAGTTGTCCATGAGTGTAATAAAATATGAATATATTTTTTTCACTTTTTTTTGTTTATTTGTTATTGTGAGTGGCATATTTCTAATTATTTTACACTGACAAATAAATATTCTTTGATTCAGTCTTCTCCTCTAACCTTAGAATCAAGTTTAATTTTCTAGTCACTATTTCACAAAATAATAATAATTGTACACACACACNTATATATGTAACAGATATGTAATTTAATCGAAATATATATTATTAGCAGTAGTAAAAAAATATTGTTTTTGTTTGTAACAATTATTGATATTACTATTACCTGCTTTTACAGCGATTATTGATGATATCTGAAGTTAGACCACTTTCCTTGTTTTCCTAAAGACTTGTCTTAAATTTCACCTTTTATGTTTATTAATCATCGGTGTAAACAAATATATGAAAAAGGAATGTCAGGTTTAATAAAAAATATATTTTTACTTAACTAATATTTATATTATCATTTAAAAATAATTTATTTACATTTCTCATAATTTTTTTCTTCAATTATAATACAAGTTAATATAAAATATTTAACAGTATCCTCCCTATATTGTGTGAATAATTGTTTTGATGTAAACAAATAATCTTTATACACTTTTTTCCTCTGATACATGTAAAATTCAAAGAGTTTAAAATCCCTATTACCGACAGTAAATTCAAGTAAGGTTCAAAATCAAATATATTACAATTGTTATCTTCTTATTTATTAATATACAATTTAAAGAATATTTCCCCAATAAATTAAATTAAAATATTATATAAATGTATAGGCCAATATCGTTACAGAAGAGAGTCTGCGAAGAAGCCCTATAGCTGATTAATTAAGCCGCTTGAAGCTCCCAGAGAAACACATGAATGCGAAAGAAAATAGTTTTTAGACTATTCTATAAAAAGGATAAACATACATGTACAACTTTTACAAATATATTAAAAAAAATTCTGTTTGATTGATTCTGCCACATAAACGATTTACACTAATGACCAGGCTTCTAGAAAAGCTCAATATAAACTTTGATCCCAATTAAATACATACATGTACGTATATATGTTTATTTATTTATATATATCGTCTTGCTTCTTGGTATAGTCGTACAGAAACTGGAAAACTTTACAGAATGAAATGTGAGCTAGAAAGGACTGGAATTTGATGGAGAGAAATGAATAAAGGGTTAAATAATAAATGATGGCTGTTTGTTTGTATTTGTAGGGAAAAGGGCGCGCCTGGGCCAACCGGTATCTGTCAAAGTTGATTGCCCGAGATTGAGAGAGTCACTCGCAACCATTTTGTTTCCAATCTTCTCCCCCGCAGCTCTTCCACATCAACCAAATACAAACGACTTGAACTGGAAACCCGGCCGAAAATCCCACGAGCCGTTTTATATACAATGTCATGTATCCGAATGTTTAAATTATCCTGTGGGTCGGTTTAAATGAAAAATGACACCGGGGTAAGTCGAAGAAAATTAAAAGAAATATGGTTAATAAAACGGATAGGAAAATACAGTTAATGTGCACTAGGGAAAGTAAGAAATGCCTTAAGGATATTTTGTTTGAATTACGAAAAGCTAATTGCTCTCTTGATATTTCTTTCTTTATTATTTTTCCTTATAAACGTTTTCATTCTTGAAGGACGTATATTTTGATTTATTCTCTTCATGTCAGGCAAAAGCAACCAACGTCTAAATTTATAAATATTAATTAAATTTTTTTAATATGGCATGGTGATTCGTTATGCATTATAAAAGTCACTGGCCATAAAACCAAAACATGTGTAGAGCGATCTACAGTGAAGAAATACCTTAATTAAAACTATCTTACTAAGACTTGGACTTTTCTCGTTTGCGGAATTTGATATACCACACGACCAACAATCAATATTGGTTATTTTGTAATATTATTTTTAGATATTTTTTGAAGGTGTTAGTGAAATTTGTAAATGTACAAAATTCAAAAGAAAAAGAAAAAAAAAGGATAACTTTAACAAAGAAAATAGTAATATCCCATATTTTTTCTTTGATTATTTATAAAACATAAAAGTTGCTGGTATTAGTATGTAAACCAACTCTGCAGACACTCAATCTGCCAGCAAATTTGGAAAACGCAACAGTGGCCACAGGATTGGAAAAGGTTCCAATCCCAAAGACGGACAATGCCAAGGAATGTTCAAACTATCGCACAATTGCACTCATATCATACGCTAATAAGGCCATGCTCAAGATCCTACGAGCTAGGGTTCAACACTACGTGGATAGAGAACTGCCAGAAGTACAAACTGGGTTTCAAGGGCGTAGAGAAACGAGAGATCAAATTGCCAAATTTTCCTGGATTATGGAGAAAGCAAGAGAGTACCAGAAAAACATCTACTTCTGTTTCATTGACTATGCTAAAGCCTTTGACTGTGTGGATCACAACAAACTATGGCAGGTCCTTAAAGAGATATGAGTACCAGACCCCCTTACATGTCTGTTGAGAAAACTGTTTAATAGTCAAGACGCGACAGTTAGAATCGGATATGGAACAACTGATTGGTTCAGCATAGGGAAAGTAGTACGACAAGGATGTATTTTGTCACCTTGCTTATATAATATATATATAGAGTACATCATGCTAAATGCTGGCCTGGATGAATCACAAGCGGGAATTAAGATTTTTGGAGAAAAGATCAACAACCTCAGATACGCAGACGATGCCACTCTAATGGTAGAAAGTGAAGAGGACCTAAAGAGCCTCTTGCTCGGGAAAAAAAGGAGAGGACGTCATAAAACCTATCACTCCTTCGCAAATAAAATGGGAAGTCGTGGAAGTAGTGACACAATTCACGTTCCTGGGATCCCAGGTTTCTACAGCTGCCATGAAATTAAAAGATGCCTGCTCCTTGGGAGGAAAGCGATGGCGAACCTAAACAGCATGATAACAATAGAGACATCTCCCTGCTAACAAAAGTCCGCATGGTCAAAGCAATGGTATTCCCAATAATCATGTATGGCTGCGAGAGTTGGACTATAAGGAAGGCCGAGCGCCGAAGATTAGATTCATTGAACTATGGTGCTGGCGAAGACTCTTGAGACTGCAAGAAGATCAAACCAGTCAATCCTAAAAGATATCTACCCTGACTGTTCTCTGGAAGGCCAAATAATGAAACTGAAGCTCAAATACTTTGGCCACCAAATGAGAAGGGAGCACTAGAGAAAACCCTGATGCTGGGAAAGATTGAAGGTCAAAGAAGACGGGGATGGCAAAGGATGAGATGGTTAGACAACGTCATAGATGCAACGAACATGAAATTGAGTCAACTGCAGGGGACAGCAGAAGACAGGAGGGCATGACGGGACTTGGTCCATGGAGTCACAAAGAGTCGGACTCGACTGTGCGACCGAACAACAACATCTCTGCAGATAGCAGATTATAGCAAGACTAGATTTGTAAGCCTTTTCTTGACTGCACAATCGGGTATAATTCCTCAATTAAAATACTCGATATTCATTATTAGTAATTCGTTATTAAAGATAAAAATTACTCGTCATGAAACCAAAACAAAACTTTCAAATTAGTGATTTACATTGTATTAGTTTTAGTTGAGATCTTTTCTCAAGTGAACACTTGGATATTACTTTCTGACGACGAATATGCATGACGCTGTCCAAAACTCGACCTTTGTCCAGAGAAATGATAACGAAACCAATGAACTAATTAAGCTATTAGTTGATGAGTAAAATCATTAAGTCCATTCTAAAAATGAGAGCAAACAAGAGTATTTGACAATTTTCACAAAAAACGTTCCCGTTAAACCCGTGGAAAAATCAAAGTTTAACGTAACGAAAAGCGGCGTGTGTGTACACCTTCACTCGATCAGCTCAACCACAAAATTTAGATATATCTTCCTCACGAAGAAAAATCGATTTTCGTTATTAATAATTCGCTAATTAACATAAAAATTACTGTCATATAACCTAAACAAAACCTATAGAATGGAAATCAACAGAGCAGGATTACCGGAGTTATTTTAGTTGGAAATCTTTCCTCAGCTGCAGATTCATACCTTCCTCAAGTTAAATAATAATTTAAATTAATTATTCTCTTTATCTAAAGTCTTGATTGAGGTGAAAAGAATTACTAATTGAAATAATTAATAAGGTCTGTTTTACCGCCAAACATGTATGGATTAATAATAATGATATTCTTTATTAGTAATTTGTTATTTATTTGTTATACAGGGCAGGAAAATTGTTGTCGTAAAATTAGTTTGAGTTGGAAATCCTTTTTCGACTGCCTCTATTACGATCAATAATATTTGCACTTATTGTTTTGCGTTTTGTTGTTCTTAGTTATTATTTTTATTTTTATAGTTAACACTGTTTTGAACCGTAACGCTTCGATCCAGGTAGTAAGAGAATCCTTTTTTTTTTATTGCTGTTTTCATTCCATCTTGGGGGCATTATTCGAACTTAATCATTTCAATTCTTTAATTTTTACCTAATTACATCCTACGATTTGGCGGTAATATTTTATAAATGTTTGTAGAGTAATTAAGCGGTGGCATAGTTAAAAAAAGGGTAGGTAAATCAAAAAACAGTTTTATAATGCAAAAATAAAATAACACTTACATTATTACTAATATTCATTTTATTCATCATTGCTTTTATTGTAATATATGTCGTAATATATCGTCCGCGATTAGACCCCATCTCACGATCCTTAAATAATTCGTACATATTGTTTGTGTAAAATAAAAGTTCATTAAAAAAATTGAATTGATATGTATGCTAAACTTGTAATAGTTAACGTATTTTATTGTAGACATTTAAAAAATAATATAAGCACGCAATGCCACACGATAATATAAAAAAATGTGTGTGTGGGCTTGTGTGAAAATTTAAACGTGTAATTGTACATAAAGCGTTGTTAAATAAACATATTAAAAAGTATAATAAAATAAATATAAAATTATCCTTATTATTCTTACTTTCCCAATGATTTATAACCGTTTTTGTATGATATTTATCTAAAAGTTATAACATTTTTTGCAAATTTTACCGCAAAATCTGCCTACACGTTTGCTCCCGAAAACGAAATTCCAGAAAACCTGTTCATGTCCATATAAAGCAAATAAATAAGGGGAATACACGTCGTATCTTATGTATTGTCTTTCTTTTTAAATCCATTTTTTTCACACTTAATATACGATCAAAAAATAGTTTTTTTCCCAATATAATTTTTTAATACTGTGATTCTATGTACAAGAGAATGAGAGGGGTCAGAGGCGGGTCCCGTGAAGGGCTTGGAGCTTTCTCAAGTTTGCGATGGTCGTCCTGTCACCTGGGTCGAGCCGGAGGGCTTCCCTGTACGCTCGGGCTGCTTCGCTCGCTTTTCCGTTGAGATGAAGCATTGCGCCCAGGTTGCTGTGGCTGCTTCCTTCCTGCAAGAGAAAAAAACATTTCTTGAGCGGATGTAAACATCGATAAGTTTGCGTTTGTGTAATGCTATGCAAAAATGTTTTCTACTTGGAAAGTTGTAGGATTTAATATTCTCCGTGTTTGAAACGGCCGTTAAACGTGCATTAGCCTAGTTATTACAGGTAAGCAAGCTGGTCGTAAATTACCAACTATTCCCTTGATTTATATGATTTCTTTAAATAAAACCTACCTGATTTGAAACACTTGGACATTAAACTCTGTTTATTTCCCTATAAATAATTATTGTTTAAACAAACCTGATTAAAAAATTCAAATGGCGGAGAAACGTCTCCGGTGAAATATTAGCGCAATGGTTTTAGTTACAGCTTTGTCGAGATTGTAATTAGCAGATTAAATTTATGGTTGTCCGCTTTCGGGAAAGCTCACAGTTACGCGTCAATTTACTTTAGATTATTAATTTGAAGGTATAACTTTTTCAATTAAAAAAAGGAAAAATAATTTTACAAACTTTTGATCTTTCTGACTGCAGGGGCCATCCTTATCGATGGCAGTTATATTAAACCAATAGAAGGATAATTAATTAATATTCTCCTGTTTTATGCCAGCTGACTAAATAGAAAAGAATAATGAATGGAGAGAGCGTTTAATGTATGGTCGGAATACTCCCTTGTGCTATTAATTTCTGAACCTTGGTATTTCTTCCATATATTGTTATCCCTAATTATTATTAAGTTTTACATGCTTTAGTGAATTATAGTTTGAGATCAGAGAGAAGTAAGCTCAGGTATAAGATCAACTCGAAAGACAACAATAGTTCCTTCGTCGAATTTTTGAATTTAGTTCATAATCACGCATACAGTTCTCTCCCTCTCTCTCTCTCTCTCACTCACTCACTCTCTCTCTCTCTCTCTCTCTCTCTCTCTCTCACTCACTCTGTCTCTCTCTATCCATCCACCTATCTATCTCTATCTCGAGCACTATTGCATATTCTCACACACCCTATCTCACTGCCTCTACGTCTATTATTCCTTTCTCGTATTCGCGCATACGCACGCGCGCGCACACACAAATACTCACACACATACAGAAACACCACAAACACATACACAAAAACACCACAAACACCACAACACCACACACCCACACAAACACATCTTAATCTCTCTTTCTCTGTCTCCCTCTATCTTTCCTCTCTCACTCTCTCTCTCTCTCTCTCTCTCTCTCTCTCTCTCTCTCTCTCTCTCTCTCTTTATAATTCTCACTTTTTCTGTCCTATTATTTTTCTGTATATCTAAGTACCTTTTGAACATTCACAATATTATGCTTTTTTATTTTAATTATATTGATTCTCAAACTATTTTGATTAGTTTATTTTCGCGATAATTATATTTTGTTCTGCTCTTTCAGTCCTTTCTCCCCTTTCCCCTTCTTTCACCGTCTTTCACTTTATCTACCTATCTATTTTTCACTCACTTTTGAAATGCAAGCCTTGAATGAGCGTCGCAAACTGGATTGTATTTCTATATTCTCTATGTTGTAATAACAAAATAATAAGTTTGTGATAACAAAATTTCAAACAATTATTTTGCATTTTGCTATTAAATAACCATCACCTCATTCTTAGCTAATTAAATAACGATTTATGTTATTTTTAGCATTTGTGTGAAACATTTACGACATTAAAAATATTTTAAAGAAAATCAAATGGAGAGAAGATGTCTTGTTGGTATGGAAAAATTCCCTTCTTACTAAATTTTTACATTCAGGGTTATGAATGTATGGCGAATAACAAATTTCCTTAAAGTAAGTAGTTAAATAAATTAAATGGATAGAAATTTTGGAAAAAATTCTGTTTTGTAAATTTTCAATTAGACGGTTAACAAATTTCCTTATTGTATGTCGCATTGTACGTATTTTTGGCTAGAATTAAGACTTTTTCGGCAAAAACTTTTCTTCCCAGAATAATAACATTTTTAGGGATAAAGGTACGCTTTTTTTAAATGTTAACAACGGATTCAATCACATCATGAACAATGTTTAAAATAATAATTAATTTTATTAGGTTATAAAAGGTTTACTGCTTTAAATAGGAGTTTTTAGCTCTATTATATTTATTGCATTTTTCGAGGGTTTTACTATACGTTTTAATAGTTTTTACTACACGAAAATACTATCTTTAATGATCACCATCGTTATAGCTAGGCTTACTCTAATTAATTAAATTGGGCATTTCATTCAAACGGAATGAAGAGTGAAAACTTTTAATACTAGGTTGTCAATAAATAAGTCGTTTACTTTAATTTCCTCAAATATTTTACTTTATTGTGACTTTGCAATGTTATTCAATATTTAAGCCAAGCAAATGTAGATTACTTAAAAAAGTAGTAAAGCCTTGTAATGCATTTGATCTGTAATGCAGTTAAGTTGAAGTTGATCTTAATATAAATCATAATACACATTTAAAAAGACGTTTTACCTGCAATAATTTCAAGTGTTAAAAAATGAAGTGATTTCTTTAAATTATAATCAGTTTATCTCAGATTTAATTTAAATGAAAGTGTACCTTAAATTCTATATTTTTTGGCAGCTTTTCACGTTGAAATTGATTTTCACGATTAGTGCGGACCAATGAAACGAATTTTTTTTACATTTCAATGGAGTACAATTTTCTGGTTGAGACACGCGCGATTATCCTGGCGAAACTAGAGCGAATGTTTCCGGATGAACAGTGCTATTGATATTCCCCAGCAACCCCACGAATATGTGGAGGCGGGGACCGCCCAGCAAAATGTTAATTGCCACCCTCCTATGAATATCACAGCGATAATTTGTTGTAATGGGTATGCATGGGGGGAGAGACAGACTTGGCATATTGATGTCCGTGAAACAAGTACCCTGCCATCATTCCATCGCCCTAGTGCCCACTAGTCTCGCCTATTTACAAAGTACGGCTCCATAAAGTTATCTGTCCAGCAGTAAAGTTATTTCAGACCATTTCATATTTACAGTCGATGTTTCAAGTCTTTCGGCGATTCCGATGAATTTCCGATGTAGAAGTAATATCAGGAGCTTTGACTACAACCTAATCATAAAACGCAAGTGTATCCTTTCATCAAGGAATTTGATTATTGTACCTGGTTGTAGTAGTTGTAATTTAAAAAGTCGTCTTGTAGGTCCAACACCACATTCTCAAGAGAAGTGAAGCAGCACAATAAGTTAGTAGCTACCTGTATTTTTATCTCCTCTTTCTGCTTGCCATGCTCATTTAATCTTCAGTGCGACATCACGAAACTGTTGAGTTCCTACTTTTACTTTTAATGCATTCTGTATTATTTTATTTTCTTTCCCTCAGGAAGGTTTTTTGATTGTGTTCTTTAAGTGATTGCCTTAGATTTCCCAATGTCACATTATCTTCTTTTTTAGATGCTCGTTCATAGTATGAATGAACAACACAAGCTATATCGAGTCATTTTAGCTGTATGGCAGCCCATTTTTTGGACGGATCTCGCGTTTAGCTCCATTATAGATGATAATTGAATTCAGTGTGCTGATCAATGCTTGTCCATCTAATGATGTTTTTGTCTTTTGTTTTATATATTCAGATTGAGCTGAGCAAATTTCTGAATAGAATAGTCGTCGGGTTGAAAGATATCGGACAAGATAATTATAAGTCAGTACTAAGAATGTACCGTCTTGTGAACTAGATCCATCTCTGTACAAAATTGCAACATTCTTGGCGCTGGGCTTTTTCCTCGTCTCAACCTTTTTGGATGCTTATGCTGGTCTAGAGGTTTTGATGAAATGGAGCTTAAATGGAAGGAGATACACCCTCCTGAAAGAGAAATACCCTACCCTAATGTTCTAATGAGATGACAGGATTATACAATTCAATCGAAACTTCCGTTGGATTTCGATGTTTACATTTTCAAGTAAATTCTGAGGCACGGAATAGAATGGTCTTCGGGTTGAAAGATACAGGACAAGATAAATATATGTCAGTGCTAAGAATGTACCGTCTTGTGAACTAGATCCATCTCTGTACAAAATTGCACCTTCTTGGCGTTGGGCTTTTTCCACGTCTCAATCTTTTTGATGTTTATGCTGGTCTAGAGGTTTTGGTTAAAAGGAAGGATACGCCCCCCTGAACGGGAAAATACCCTACAATAACCAATGAGATGACAGGGTATTAGAATTCAATCAAAACATCCGGTGGATTTTGATGTTTACATTTTCAAGTGAATTCTGAGGCACGGAGTTGATTTGATCTTTGAACGAGAAACATTAAAGTGAGACCGTTATTTAAAGGTTTTACATTCATTGTATCTTTAACTCAACATTCTTTCTCAAGCTATTCATTTTTATCGTGAAAATTTCCATTTTTATTAACTCCAGTATTTTCTGAAGCATATCAAGTATCAAAAATCATAATGAAAAACCACATTCGAAGTATATCTCATGATAAATGAGATGGATGTACAACCAATTCTAGGTAAATAATGGAAAACAGATTAATTGAATTGATGAAGAAAAAGATTAAATGCTTTTTATTGTAATCCTGTTGTAATGTCAGCTGTTTGTCCCGTCCAACTACTTCACAAGACTGTTAGTATATACGAATCTATATGAGGGTTTAATAATAATAAATTTGTATAATTATATGTTCTTCATTGAGATATTTGGTAATAGGAAAATTTTATATTATTCCCTCTTTTTCATTACTCATTCAGTCTCTCTCTCTACCTGTCTATCTATCTATTTATCTATCTATCTAACTATTCCATCTCTATCTATGGATCTCCCTGTCTATCTATAACTCTATCTATCTTTTGTTTTGTTTTTACTTTCCCTTTTTCTATCGACGATTTCTCAATCTTACTTTTTCTACTCTCTTATTCTCTCACTCCTTATTTCTATAATATATCTAACTCTGTTTCTCTGTCTGTGTGCGTTTTGTAACCTTGCGTGTTTATTCTTCTCTTTTTATTTTTTATTTTTCTACTCTTCGCCTTTCTCTTTCTGTTTTTCTGATTCTCTCTCTCTCTCTCTCTCTCTCTCTCTTTTTGTTATATACTATTACCATATAAATCTTCCAAAATTCTTCTTTTCTTCTTTTATTCTTTCTATTTACCTATCAAACTGAGTGTTACATGCATATGCCATTAAGCAAAAAATAAAATAAAATTCTCTTTTTAAAATAAACGTTACTTTAAATAATTTTTTGTTATTCCGACTACAAAACATTCCTTATTATGGTATACAAAATTATGTTAATTCGTAAGAAAATACAGTTTAATAACTAATAATAATTTATTACATCCGTTAGTAGCCTTTCAGATATATTGTATATTAAACTTTACATGCTAAAGTTAGTAAAACTGATTAAAGCTAAAAATATGTATGTTCAATAATCATTTTGTTGTTTATTGCGTATTTATTTATTTTTGTAAAACCGAACTCGTTGATTGTAGGAAAGAGAGCTCAATAAAGCGTTTCAATTCAATTCTGTTTATCTTTCTATCTATGTATCGCCCTCCCTCTCTCATCCTCGGATTCGAAATGTTGATCAATTACATCTTTGCCAATAATCTGTTACAATATTTCTTCGTCCCCCATTCTAGGCTCATGGCTATTTTTGAAGTATGACATTGAACTTTTTTCCATAGACAATCTTTTACTTTGTCTCTTGGTACTATTAATGTTTGTGTTTTACGCTTAGAAACTTACATGAGGCCTTAAAAGGACCGCTTTTCTGTAGAAGAGCTCCGCCTCGTGGTTCCTCCCAGCGTGCCTGAGTGCTGTCGCGGCACCGACGATTGATTCGTACTGGTTCGGTGCCAGTTCGGCGGCCTTCAGGTACAAACTCGCTGCTTCTCCATGCCTCTCCAGTTCGGCCAAAAACTGACCTGTACCAATCATAATGTAAATTAGTTAATTTGAGTCAAAATCATATATAATATATAAAATCTAGTTTAATCTTATATGATCATTTTGGTTGGTCAGACCCAAAAAATGTTCGGAAACGACCAAATCATAAGGTTAGATTTAGTAATCAATCGTCATACTACTTGTTATTATTGTGTTGCGGTGTCATTAAAACTTACTGTTTTAAAAGACAAATGAAAATTTATTCTCTGTCATCTGAAAAGTATTTCCAAATTCAAAATATACATCGTTTGTATTGGATTTTTAGATCCGATAAGCTGTCAATTATTGAGTAGCCAAAGGTACTAACCAACCATAGCTTGAGTTTCGAATTAAAAATGTTCTACTTCTAGGAGATTCGGGAGGTTTTGCCTTGAAAAACGTGATCCTGTCCGAACCGGAAGTCAATAAAGTCTGGACTATAGTGTGGGTACGAATGTGCTTTTTCTATTGATTCGTCATGAATTTTATTTATATATAAATTATTTTTAATTTTCAGTTGCAAAAATCCATGTTCAAATCTATTATCGTAAAAATAAGACAGAATTGGTATAATAAATGTGATATATGAATGTGTCGAGAAAAATTTTTTTTTTTAGGTTAGACATGCAACTGGTAGCTTTCTTTATGAGTGGGAATAATTACTTTTGTGCATTAAATATATTTTTATTAGATATCATATGACCAAAACTAGCCTTGGTGATATCATTTGAAAATAATATTATTATTGTTCGCATAGTCTGAACGACAGAGCAGATAATTTTGAATTCGGAAAGCACGGGTGCGTTAAATGCGGTTTCCTTTGTTCAACATCACGTGTAATCAAGACGGTAACGAAGAGCTGACCAAGGTAGAGATTAACGTTAAATCGACTCATTGATTCGACGAGGACGTCGGATGAGTTGCAATGACAAGATGACCTTCCAGACAATGAGAGTTCATCAACGACGTCTATAGGATCCCACTTATGAGGTATTTCAGAATCTCCGTGAACAGAGATACGTTGAACAATGGTTACAAGGAGAAAACCCCGAAATAGGGGAGGAAAACCAAAGGTCAGAGATCACGTAGCCCATGATAGGACCCCTCGGTAAAATGTACAGTACATGGATCGATACAAAATATTAGACATGTTTAATCTTCTAAACTGCCACTGTACTTTCTATATTGTGAACTGAAGAAAAATCAGTGTATTCTTTACTTACTTCTTGATGTCTTTTAAACCGGTTTTTTTAGAACAAATTTTTAAGAGGGATGTTGTTTCTTCAATCGTTAGCGTTGGTATTCCGTTTATTTCGATTGGCGCTTTCTACTCCTTTCTCCATAGCGACTCTGTAGGCTATCCCACAAGCGTTGTCCTTTCACTTTTTGGACGAATTCCTTCCGACATTTCAACTTGCTTTTGTCAACCGCGCCAGAAAATTTCGTTTTGCGTTGCTTAAAACCATAGCTTTTTAGTTTCCCTCAAGGCTTGGAGCTTTGACCTCTGCCATTAACGCCTTTTTCTGTTGGTCTCGGATGTCTTCCTTTTGATTCTTCATTCCACCAAAGTTTCCCTTGCGGTATGGTTTCAGAGAGCGCTTAAAGTTAGCCGATTTTACTCATAGATTCTAGTGGTTTGTGAAGTTTTTCGATATTTTACCTCATTTCTTGAGGATGGAAAAAATTTATCGTCTCATCAGTTTCAATTATGCTCACTTTACTGCAACTGGTGCATCGTGTGGTGGACACCATTACCGCTTATGTTAAGAAAAAGCATTGCTCGGATGTCTTTCTATACTAGCCTAGGCTTTCTACTGGGTACAAAATCCGCATTTATTGTGGAAACTCAACGATGTTCTTCTCAGAACGTTTTACCTTGTAGGGTTAAACTACTAATAAGTTGTGCACAAAGTACTGCACAACAGGAGGTTTGCTTGGATTCAAGATGTTCCGGTTTATTTAAGGAACACGCTAAATGACACGATTGGCCGCACATTGACCTAGAATTAAAAGGATTCCCATAGAATTAAATTTAATATAAATATAAATTAGTAGCAAGATGTTTCTATAAAATACTTTAACGAGTTTTATAGAGGACAAAAGAATTTTGTAAACTTTCAGAGCTCGAAAGTTAAGAAAATCAATTTTAAGAAATAATTGAATTCCTTAGTCATTTCCTTGGCCAGGAAAGGCAAAAGAGAAAATTTAGTTTAATTAATGTCGGCTGCAGACTGGCTACCGTGGGGGAGGATTTTTTACTGCAGAACACTGTTTTGCCTTAATATTACAACTTGGAAAACCCCGAGACCGCAAAATGTTCGTCGGGTTTTCATTATTTGGAAACAAAGGTTTCACTTAAAACCCGCTCGTTGTATTTGCAGAAGGGAAATTGTTTCCAGTAACGTTAACATGATTAGACTCCTTACCTGTTTCGATTACAACTTGTATTTTACTAAATTGGTATTAAGATTGCCGTGGTTTTTGAATGTATCATCAAAGAAATATTGAAAAATTATGGGAAAAATATAAAACAACTAACAAAAAAGTTGGTAATTAGAAAAAAAGAGAAAAGAGAAAGAAGAAATGTAGAAAAAGTAAAAGGGAGACAAATAGACAGAAAGAGAGAAGAAAGAGTGAGAATGTGAGAGAGAGAGAGAGAGAGAGAGAGAAAGAAAGAAAGAGAAAGTTGTAAATATTCATAACAATATTTCTTAACATTGTCATTAGGATTTGTGAAAGCCATTTCATCATCTTCTGCAAAAGTGTAACAGGCAGGAAACTATGCTATAACATCTACCGGGAGATCATTAAAAGTTGAAATCCATTAAAGCCCATGTTCTTGCGATTTGTGAGAACGATAAACGACAAAGTGATGTGATGATGCTTCCGTGACGAAAATTCTGGTTTAGACGTTGTGGCAGGATAAATTAAGATAGAAGAGATTTAAGCACCGGGCTGGCGTCGAGCTCACAGACCTACTGTAATAACAATCAATCCATGTAAAGCGGTAATGGAAAATACCCCAGGGGTTAACACACGGTTGAGCGGCAGGAGAAACATTGTCAATTGATTTATTTTCGTATTTGTAATTTTCTTTGTTAAATATTTGCTGGAAAAGGGGAAGAAATCAGGTCTTTCCCCCTTTGCAAAGAAATTACATTTCGTTTGAGGTAGCCTTTAATTATTGAAATGGACAACTCAAATTAACTGATATTTCAGAGAAATAATCATTACAGAAAATTTCCCTTTCATGCAGAAATGTGATTATTGTTTATTTTCTCGTTTAAAACGACAATTATTAACACGTTATTCCTTCATTAATGTACATTTCTGTAATTTTATTTTGATGTATTAATATGAATTTTGGGATATTGAAACATAAACCTATGTCATGTACCCTTTTATAAAAAAGTAAAAAAAGATTTTAACTAGTGTCATTTCTGGAAATAGACGGTATTGGTGTCAGTTCAATTTCAAGCACGTTCTATAAACTAAGCAATGCGATTACTCAAGTTGTTAGGAATATTCTTGTATAAAAAAAAAGTGTTTTGGGCCCACTTTTGGTTCAACTTAATGCACGTGCTAAATTATAAATTAATTTAAAGCTAGAGCCAATTGTTTTATTTAATTAAGTAGTTTATTTTCGAATTTGATGACTCCTGCTATCCAGCAAGTATTTATCCTTATGGACGGAAGGCTGTAATGGATGAATGAAAAATTACTTTTATAAATATGCGCGACATTTGTTTTTTATTATGAAACTTTGGGAAAAACTGTATTATCTTTTGCATTTTTTATTATAGCCAAATAAAGATTTATTATCATTATTAATATTTATTTAACGTCAGTAAAATAAGTAAAATCCTATCAAATATAAAATATGATCAAATCTCTCTCCACCAATTTTTCTTTTATAGCTATCATTGCAGGAGGTACATATTTAATCTGCAAGGAAACATACAGTGTGAATTACACATAAAAAAGTTTCAGATGTTTATCGTTTTTCATTTAACCTAATGTATAAAGTACATGTCTTGAATCGTTGAATAATGAATAAGGCCAGTACATCATTACAGAAAAGGCCCGACCTGTCCATTAATTATATTGAGACTAATCGATAGCTTCATTTCCCGCCGGGAGTTGACACTTCTTTTGGTTATAATGGCTCCTAGGAAACGGGGACGTTTTTAACCCCCTTTCCCGTCCGCTCTTTCCATTCTCTTTCAAGCTCATATCCATTAATAATGTACACCTGTATACTTTTAAATTCAAGATGAATTGGGCAAGTTTAAACTAGAAGAGTTTTTAATTTTTTTTAATAAAACTTTTCCCATTTCACGCTAGTGCATTTTTCCCCTTCCAAAAATGTTAATTTAATTCGGCAATTATCCGGGAAAATAATTAATTACACACTTTATGTCAACAATTTTTATGAAATATTAATTTACGTTTAAAAAGCTTTTACTTTTAAAACTGACATAGGTGTTTCAATGATTTTGGGCGTTGTATTGAGAAGAACTTTTAAATGAAAAAATTATATATATAATTATTCGAAGATCGTGAGATGCGGTCTGGTGAGACGTGGTTTTAGAAAAAACATTTTCTTTATCGTGCCAACGTTACAATCTTTATTAAGATCATTTTCTGGTCCTGGGATTGATAAACATTGTTTAAATTTTACAAATACACAAATATGTAGGACAAGGAAAAAATGAATTTATATAATGACAGTAAATTTTAGATTTGAAGAAGAATGATTTTATACAATGTTAGGAAATTTTAGATTCAATCAAAGTATTTCTACTCACTCAAAGCGTTTGTTTTCTGCGTAATTGTGCCATTCTTGTGTGTCGAGTGGAGAGTGCTCGTGAGATATTGATGTTTTATGTATATATACCTTAGATTTGTAGGGGTGTGGAAGGAAGTCGGGATAGAAAGACATTTTCATACGAGGAGACGGCTTCTTATAGTTGCAAGGAGCCGGCAATCGGAAAAAACG